CACGCTAACGCTAGTTTCATTGACTGAAGCCGGCATGTTCTTTAGACTGAACTGTCGCGCTTCTCGTTGCGTCACACCTCAACCCGCCTCAAAGCCAACGCTGATTGGACGTTCGTTTGGTGAACGGCTCCAAATTTTCTTTAACGGAGAGTCTCCTTGAAACCTTGAAAGCTCGCGAGATCAGGATGGTCTCACGAGGCCAAAAGTTGGCAGTTTTAGATTTTTTTCTATTTCTGTCCCTGGTTGAGAATGACTGAAATAGGACCACTGTAGAGTGAAGCTGAAGTTCAGTGAAACGTTTCAAACGTAATTGGCTTAATGTCTATTAGTAGAAACTAGATGTAGAGGAAATTTTGTGAAGCTCCTCAAAGTCATGCTAAATTAAAGTGCTAAATAGTTCAAATCAGTTTTACTCATCATTTCTGCGTCTAAATGCAACATCAGCCACCATTCAAACTATTATATCTAGATGTATATGACCGTTCAAACTGGCACATTTTTGCTCATATATTTTTGTGTGCAAATACACTAAAACAATATTGTAGTTGCATTGCATCATTACACCCAAAGAGCTCACCAAGTGTCTGCACATCAGTTTGTAGTTAATTAAACTAAACCATTTTCTTGGATTTGTCATTAATAATGGTTTCTGTTAAGCACTTTCAGTTTGTCATGATGAAAAACATGCTAGATAAAAATCTTAACTTCTCTACACATACATTAAAGAAAAGATAAATATTTATTTATTGCATGTTGGTTCTGTCGAGTGTGAACACAGCAGCCGGCATGTACAGTGTACACAAGCATAAACAGGTCGATAAAGTGAGGCGGTGTCCCACAAACGCTGGAGGATTATTGGCTGGTCAAAGTGTGGCAACTCCTATTTTAGCAGTTGTTTCTATACGCAGCTGCTGCAGGCAAAACAAAACTCTAGTACGTTTGTGTAGATTTGGCCACTGCACGGCGCCAGCTGAAATAGCTTCACGTGTCCCCCTTTACCCACCATGCCTAGGTAAGGATGTGGTCATGGATAGCAGCAACAGGCTGGTAGCAAACCACAGCCTGGACAGGTCCCATCTCATCATCGGACATCAAAGTTTTAAATGCAAATGTTTAAACTGAATATTGAATACAGACAGAATCATCCATTTTAGTACAAGATTTAACCATAACGCTCAGCTCCTGCATTGAAAACCATAAGGATCAGGTCTACTTTGTTGATTGCAAGGCTAAGGGAACTTCTTTTCAACTCAAAATAGCAAATATGAAGTAAGAAGCAAAATAAAAGAAGCACGATAATACAGAAAGGTAAACCATGTGTTATAACGAATTGGCCAGTAAACCTTTAACAAAATCATACTCCAATTGATATCAAAATCATACTCCAAACATCAGGTTCTGGTTACCTGATCAAAAGGTCCAAACAAAGACATCTTTCCAGTGTATTTTTAGAGTTCATAGTGCAGACCTGTAAAGCAGACTCCTTAACTTCTGGTCCAATAAATAGAGCCAGTAAAGATTATTCTTTCACAAGACATAGACGATACATCGTCTGGCTGATATTTTTGGATGACATTAGCAGGGTTTTTGTTGTATCTATATCTACCATTGTGTAAAAATATAACAGGGAAAGAAGAAAAACAAATTGGTTAAAAGAAACATCCTAGTGACCTATTTGCAAACCATAAGCTAAAGTCATTTGAACAGCTTGATAACATTGACAAGCTGAATGGTAGAAATCCAAACAGGATTTCTACCGTTTGTTTGCAAATAAGGCAATATATTACTCACAGCACAACCCTTATTGACCACCCTGAAACATCTGCTGTTGAGAAAATTCTGTTTAATCAACAAGTAAAAGCATCTATGAGCTCACTTTACCATACACTGAATGGAGTTTCAGCTACTGATGCGCAGGGGGGTCAGGGGTGTGTGGGAGAGGGATTTCTCTGTAACCATAGATGAGGACAAGTGGGATACTATCTGGTCTCTTGCAAAAGGGATCTCAGTTTGTACTCTGACAAGAGAAATACAATTTAAGATTTTGCATAGACTACATATCTCCCCTCATCGTAGGAGCCTCTTTAACCTCTCCCTTTCCCCTCTTTGTCACAGGTGCAAAAAAACTCTCTCTGAGATTGTCACAAAGGTCAAAGATACTGGGCTGAAATTACAAGTGAAATGGGGAAAACTTTTCATATTAATTTAGATATGGAGCGTTGATTTTGGGTCTGCCACTTGCCTGTCTGAAAACTGCAGCCAACAAGGGACTGTGCAATATCTTAACCTTTGCAGCTAGAAAAAATGTTCTTCTGCAGTGGGTCAGTGACAAAGTTCCTTCTGTCTATTTAAAAAATCGTTGAATCGGCCGATTATTTTTTCGATTAATCGATGAATCGGACAAAAATATTTTTTATATTAACCTCATTATTCCAAAAATAAACATAGACAGAACAAACAAGCACACAAGTACAGGTTGCTCATTAACTGTACTGGCGCAATATGAAAAATAAATGTTTGTGTTAAAACTACGCAAACTTAACATGAGAAATGTAGCTGTACATCCACAAAATATATGGTACTTTGTTTCATAAAGCTCAAAAAAAGACATTTTTGTTTTTAAAAGCCCCTAAGGGGTTCAAACAATAGGTCCCCCCAATTTCAACAAATTAGTTTTTTTATTAGACTAGAAGAGTTCTGCCTTTTAAGACAGGAAAGTATAGCAGTTAAAGTTGCTACTTGAGAAAATACTGAACCATAGAGATAAAAATAGCCCTGTGATTCAAATTATAAATTGTATTTGGAATAAAAATGAGGGAACTAGGGATGCTAAAAAACACATCCTTCAAAGACAGATATTTACATGGAAATGTGGCATATAATTAACACATATTACTGATCTTGCTGGATTTTATTCTGCTTTACTTCCATAAATTGCAGGATCTTCTTTTCTTTATCTTTGCCAGAAGATTTAAACTTTAAAAGCCTTGCCCTCATAATTTACAAGTTAATTTATTTATAAAGAAAATATAAACGCTGCTTAAGCTAATTCAAATGAAATTAAAATAAGTAGCCAACCTTATCACTGTCTGTAACCTACTAACAAGGTAAGGAAAGCATCAGATGAGCTACCTGAGAAACTAACGTTACGTTTCCCCACTTTAAAACCAAACAAACATGGTCGCTCATCCTGCTGATCAGCTCTCTTCACTGCCATCGAAGGCTCCAACGTGTTTTCTCTTCAGGTGCTGCATCATAACAGTGGTGCTTCCGTGCCATGTTTATTTGTTTTTACAAAAGTTGCATGTTACGACTTTTTTCGCTTTACGAAGCGCAGGCTGTCTGCGAATTGAGACGCAGCTTGTGATTGCGGTATCGGTAATTAGAACAGTTGACATTACTGCCTTTTGAAAACAGCCTTTGCTCACCTGCGGCGCTGGCTCGCTCTGCCGTATTTTTTCTTCTTCCCCCTTTTCAGTCAAGTGGATGTGATGACGACGGCGGCGGATGACACATTAATCGTGCGACACAACTAATCGATGATTAAAATTTGTTGCCAACGCTTTTAAAAGTCGATTTTTATCGATTTTATCGATTCGTTGTTGCAGCCCTAGTTATTTCCTCTGGAATATCTAACCAATGTCATGCATTACATTGAAGACCGGTTTTTACAGAGTATGGTGCCCATTTCTGGATTGGACCGGACCTCTCCTCCACACTATTAAGACGCTAGCTGTAGGGCTGAACAGTATATGTGCATTATAAGACTGATTTACCACCTTTTGCATCATGTCTGCAATGTAAGAGCCGTCATGTAGGTTTTGTGTTTTTTCTGTTCTGTGTCTAATATTATAGACACTGTTTGTTGAAGCATTGAAAATGCAATTTAAAAAAAAGAAAAAAAGAATTGTCCTAAAATATCGGCAGCTTATCAGCTAGACTAAAGTCCAATCAGCCTTAAAAACAAAACTTTATTTGTTGATCTCCGACTTTTATAACTTTTAACATAAATAAGCTTCATTGTTACCATTTCTGTTTAGCTTAATATCTGTAAAGGATCTTAAGACCCCATACTTTGTGACCTGGGACTCCAACTTTGGGAGCCAGAGCAGTAAACGGTATTGCTAGTTTTTTTGAGTTGAGGTGTATCACTCAAATCCTCTCAACTTAAAAAGGGTTCCTATTAAGAGCAATAACAGAAAACATTCACTTGGTGGCTAATATTTCTTAGCTGCATGTTGCAAAGTGGGTGGCGTAACTGATTTCAACTCATCTGAATTTAAATCAGTTAGTGAACAATAAAGCTTTTACTGCCCCTTCCCCCAAAGAAACAGAAAAGCTCAATCAAAGATCATCATGAATTTTTCTTTAAAAAGGGTCTAGTCACTATTTTCACAGCTTTAAAAACATTTATTCATCTTTAAATGTAACAATAAATGGGAAGCATTTCACCTCATAGTGTTTTCTTAGTTCTTTCAGACACGAAACAGAGTTTTGTAGTGGAAGCGATCAGCATGTTTGCACACTGTCTGCTGGCAATACTTATCCAACATCCACCCCGTTCATTTGGTCCCTTGTACCAACGAACTTTGTCGTAGTTGAAAAATATTTCTTAAGAGATTCCTCACCAACACCCTGGTGAGAGCAGGAACAGAAAAACTGACATGCTGCTGCAACAAGAGCCCCGATACAAGCGTAAACTTCACTTTAACAGTCTGACCCAGAATCCTCTAATTTAGAAGATGAACTGATAAAGGAATTTTGTTTTTAGGTGTATTATATTCAATTCAGACATACTTCAATTAATGTCAGACTAAATCAGGGCAAAATGTATCTAATTATAAAAAAGCATTAAATAAATACTGATTATTTCCAAAGCAGTTTTCCCTATTTTAACTTGACATGTGACTGGAGTCGCTATCATCATTTACGTCCCACATAAAATGCTGATAAAAACATACAGATGCAGTTTTTCCCACTGGTATCGCACAAAAACACACCTGTAGAAGAGGTCAGCCTCCTGCAGCTCCTGACCTCTCCAGCCCTCCTCTCTGCAAGTGACGTACGGAGGAGGATTGAGCCTTCAGTCAGCAAAGAGGAAGAGGAACAAACAGCAGCAGAGTCAGCCGTCTGAGACATAAAATCCACAGCCCCCCCATTACTAACACTAGCCATCTCCCTATAGGTTTTACTCCCTCACGGGTTCTCCCTCTGTCTTTTCTCTCATCCTGCAAGCTGCCATCGCAGAGAAAGGCACTCAAAAGCGTGCAAATGTATGGATTGCAAGGGGAGCTAGGGAGAGACCACCAGGTGGAGAGTGGGCAGTGAGAGGAGGAGGATGACCAGAAAATCCGTAGGAGGAGAAGGAGGTAAAAAGAGGGAAGAGATGCCACCTGGAAATGCACTGCTGTTAAAAAATGTATCCCAATTTGGAGCAACGTGGTGTGAAGAAGAGATCGTTTCTGTGATGTTGGGGGGTGTTTGTCCCCTGAAAACCCTGACAGGCTCCATCTTCACTTCCTAATTTAATGACATTCTAAGCTTTAAATAAAAAAACATTCAAAGAATTGTGAAACTAGGTATAAGCAGTGCATGTGTGGATTCATTAAATAAATGAAGAACTTAGAAATGAAATTTAACAGCTATATAAATCTAAAATTATTTTTGTAATTATATAATTTAAGAAGAATAGAAAACCACCTAGTTTTGGTGTAAAACATCAGCACCCCTCTGTGCTGGCCTGAGATGGTACAGGCTCTGAGAAGCTGCTCAGTCACTGTTGCTAAGGCCCACCCTCTTGAATGTCGGGACATAAAGCAGAGAGTAAACAGCCTCAGTCAGACCTCTGACTCCTTCATTCATCACGCTCCGAGAGGCTGATCGCCATGTGGACAGGTGGAATCAGCAGCAGCTCCTTTTATTTGCTAATGTGCAGGTTTTGCTGCAGGGAACTGTTAGCTGTCAGGTTGTGAGCAGCAGTGACGTGGGAAAATGCCGGCACGTGGCTTTCACATGAGGGGGATCTTTGACTCGCTTTGGGTCAGTCTCACAGAAAGTGGATTTTATACCTTATAGATGTAGTTTAATATTTAATGATCAATTCTGAGAGAACTATGCTCCTTAAAATGCACAAAAGACAAACAAAGACCTTGTTTATACACCAACAAATAATCTACTTGATCATACTTCAAATTTTACTAAAACAAATGCACAGAAAAAGTCACATAAACAAGAAATACTTATGTTTCCCCTGAGCCCATTTCTTTTAATTTAGCAGAAATAAGGGGAAACATGTCATCATTCTTCTGCTAATACTTAAATACTTTTTATTTTATTAGGAATTCAGATATTTTTTACAAGTTTTGTTCCAAAACAAAAGTACTGGCTACAGATAATCTATATGTTTAGGAACATTTATTGTGTGTGTTAAATATAAATCTTTTAAACGAGATGTGTGCCATACGGTCACCTATTAAGTTAAAAAGGAAAAGTCCAGGGGTTGGAATTAAATCGCCCTAAATTAATAAATATGCAGTTAATGTTTATGTGTCAATGTCCATTATATTAACAGTGCTGCCACATCTTGTTTAAAAAGAACTTAAAATGAAAACTTTGTGTTTTTATTTGGGTATGTTTCGATTTTGGTCTTAAATAGTAAAAGCCGGATTTCGATGAAAAATATGCTGATGTTTACTTCATGTGAATCTAGGGGGAAATAAAATAAACAATCCTCAAAATTTGGAGATGAGGTAAAAGACTTACACAAAACAAAAACAAAAATAAATTCACATCTCGAAATCTGGCCTTTTGATGAACGCTAAATAATAATAAATGTTATCTGTAGAGTAAGTAATAATAAAAAAAAATAAATAAAAAAAATCAAATTCTGCTGGGGAAAAAAAAAAGACTATGGAGCTTATTAAAGTCGTAGGGAAGTGGCTGACCCAACTGTTGCATTTCCAAATTAGTGAATAAAGAGAATTTGGTCGTTTATGAAGGGGGCGAGATTGTTGTGGCGTAATGTTAGCTAACCTTTTTGGTTGTGGCCGGTTTGTCGGAAGCATCTTGCTAACCAGTTAGCAACTTAGTGCTACTGGATTCCCAATGGGAAATTACATTAGGAAAAAGCAGCAGTTAGCAACGACACTGTCAAGGAACGCTATGGACAGAAGAAAAATGGAAGAGAAGGAGAGTTTAGTGTCGGAGGTCCTGGATGAGTCGCCTCCGTCATACTTTTTTTATTTAAAGGAGGAAAGTGGGGACGAAGGTTTACAGCCGTACATGTTCGAGCCCTTGCCTCGCAAGCTCCTGACCTCACAGTTATGTTAAAGTATTTGAACCGTTGCGTATATTAGCTGCGACATATGAATCAAGATGTATAACCAAAAAAATTTGATTGACAGATGACCGTTGATATATGATTGGCTGAATTTAGGCGTACAGGCTGATGTATAACTAACTGGCCTGCTTAACATAATGAAAAAACAACACAGATTTTAAGAAAGGATTTTTTTTTTTAATAGAAATTTTCTAACTTTTGGGACAATATAGTCTGATAAAGAGTACATTTATATACATGTTTAAGCCAGATGATGTGACATTTAAATATGACTCTCCTTCGACTTTAAGCTGCTAAAAATAAAGGATAAAAACTGCCACATGTAAGAGGTCATTCTACCAAAATTGATAAAAAAAAAAAAAAACTTCTGCTACATCTAGTTCTGGGCGGATTTTGTAGTTGGTGAAAGAAAAAGCCTTGATGTCTTATTTCTTCCAAGGGAGGAATAAGGCTGCACCTGAGATGCAGAATATTAAACACAAACTTAAAATAATTCTTTGTAAATAAAAACTTGTAAATAAATTGTTTTTTCTAAAACATGCTTTTCGATTAAAATGCAATTCATTAATAACAGACCCTGTAATTAACTGAATAATTTTTTTATTGAATCCTATCACTAGTTTACATTTTTAATGCTGCGGTAATTGAACGAAAAACGTATATTTAAAATAAACCGTAACAAAGTTTATTAGTTTGTAAAATTCTCAGTAACTTGATGTTCTTGATCAATTTCAATAATCAGAACCTACTTATAAAAAACATCCATCAGATAAGCTTTTTTACCCTTGTAAATGAAAGAAGGCTTTCAGCGGCTGTGGGGTAAAGTTTAAGATCTGCACTCATAGCATAAACATATAAACAATGCTCCTGTGTTCCTTTAACAGCTCCTGTTTCTCAACTGAATACCCTGCTCAGTTCCAGTTCATTGTTTCCCACCATCTGTGTACACCCAGAACCAGGATGTTTACCGGCGGTGAGAAATAATCTTGGACCGCACACAGCTCCACAAACGCCACAACACACAGCCAGAGTGCTCAGAGTGTAGAACTGTCGGTGTGAACTGTCTCAACTTAGTGATGTCCACAGAGGCTCCTTTATTTGTGCAACAACTACTAAGTACATACAAGTGGCTCCATAACACACAGAAAAATCCCTTGCAGCACTTCAAAACACCCTGTCAGCATTATGGGTCTTTCTGATGAATTTTGCGTGGAAATCTGACCAGTTTAGATGTACGAGTACATACTTTTCCATCAGCAGAAGAACTGAAATACAGCCGCCACTTCAACAGAAGCACCAGAGAAGCAGTAGTGGGGATTTCCAAAAAATATCAGGAGCTTTCAGACTCTACTAATGAAAATCTAGTTTTTTTTAAGCCTTTGAACAAATCACCAAAACAAAAATATAATAAAAAAATTATTATTTTTCTACATGCAAAGCAAAAAAAAAAAAAAATAGACCACCACCCAAAAGAAAAAAAAAATGCAAACTTCAAAATACTACAGCAAAAACTGCCTTCCTAACTATATAATCACACCACAAAAAAAAGTGAACCAAGGCTAGGTTCACACTGCAGGCCTTGATGCTCAATTCCGATTTTTTGTGAAATCCGATTTTTTTGCGTTGCCGTTAAGGCTGGGTATTTTTCAGGGTTCCTAAAGCATAAAGCAAGATAAATTCAAGACTTTTTAAGACTATTTAATGCCACTTGAAATAAAAATTTAAGACCAAATTCACAAGAAACACAAGAAAAACCCGCTTCAACAACTTAACCCAAAGGTTTATTTTAACATAAACCACTGCTTAATGTTTCATATTTTGAAAAGCTTCCCATACAGGAAGAAAGCTAAAAACACACAAATGACAGATATATTTTAACAATTATTTAACTAAATTAACAAACTTTGTTTTAGCAGGGAACAAAACAAATCAGTTTTAAAGCCACAACATAACCAGTGCTAAGTCTTTTTTGCAGCTATTTTTCTTTGTATTGTTTTCTTAGTATGTTTGATTTGGTGATAAGTGGAGCCGTTGCAGAGACAAGGGTGGAACAAAACTGAGAAATACCGGCTGTTTCTCAGTAACTCGATTTTGACGCTTTGTGTTTCGTGCTTCGCATGTGTGACTCCACTGCCTTAATTCCCATCGTTCCGAGCTTGAATGACTTCTTGCACAAAATCCACTGAGCCTCATGTATGTTCCCTGGTTTTAGCCATGGAGAAAACTCTTGGCTGGAGACAATTTTGGTTACATTTACACTTGCTCATATTTTCCAGACAAAAAGTTAATGGTGCATCTCCCAAATGTCCCAGCCGCAACAACGCTTTATTGGTTCCGCTATCGGGATGGAACCAATAATGGTGATATTAAAAAAAAAGTAAATTTTAACGTTTTATTTAGATTACAAAAATAAATCGTAACAAAAATAATCCTATTTATGATGTTTTAAAAATTAAGACCTACGAAAGACTGATTTAAGACATTTTAATACCAATTAAGGCCTTAGTTTTATTTTGAAGAATTCAATGCCTTTTAAGACTTTTTAAGGACCCGCGGGAACCCTGTTTTTGCTGAAGTCCTGAATCGATTCGCTTTTGATTCATACAGTTCTAAATCGATTAATTTCGATTCGATCTGTTTTTACAATAATGAAAGCGGTTCAACTGTGTTTCAAAATACTCATGTATTTTATCTTTTCCTGTCACATTAAACGCAAAGTGCAAACTTGTAAAACAG